GCACAGGAGGAAACAAATAACAGCCTTGCCATTAGGTCCCTGGCCCAGGTGCAAAATAAGAAGTTTTCCTTCAATCTGCATAAACTTTAGAGTCCATGCTGTTGAGAGATCTGAATATATGGGATCCCCACCTCCTAAGACACCCACCTTTTTTCTTTGCTGTGTGACATCTTAAGTTGGAATGTATCAGTGCCCAGCATCAGATGGGAAACACATAGTCTTCTTTTGGACTCCTTGTTGGAACTCCCTGCTCTCTCTCTTTTCAGTGTCTGTCTTGTTCTTTGGCCCTGAGGACAGATGTTGATAAGGAAGTGTATTTCCTCACTTCTGGCACAAAAGGTGGGTTTCAGGCCCTTCATCTCCCTAAGGTCAGGGAGCCATCGCTTTCAAAGCTGAAATGTGGTTGCTATGAACTGAGATATGTTGGAAGCTTAAAATAATAAGTTTTGAAGATGTAGTTCCAAAAAATATATCTACTTCCTTAGTAATTTTATATTGGTCACATAATGCTAATATTCTGAATATACTGGGTTAAATTATTCAACAGATTTTACCTGCTGTTTATAATATTTTTAGTTGTAGGTGAACACAATAACCTTATTAATTTTATGTGGTGCCAAGGGTCGAATCCAGTGCCTCACGCGTACTAGGGTTGTGCTCTGATGCTGAGCCACAACCCCAGCCCCAGTTTTTAATTTTTAATGTGAATACTAGAAAATGCTAAATCTCACTTAGGCCTCTTATTCTATTTGTGTTGGTCATCGCTGCCTCGGGAGATTGCCTCCCAATTTAAAGCTCAAATTGTCTCCTCACAAAACTAGAGAGCAGAAAAGTTAAATGAAGTTTTAAAGCAACTGTCATTATATCATTTACATTAATGCATAATACAGTGGCGTATAATGCATAAATTGGCATTACCTCATATACAAGATTAAAGGTAAAAATCCTCTTGGCCGAGCTACATGGGCTAGATACCTCTACTCAGAAGAAACTGCACCTTAACGTAGCTGTAGCCTGAAGCTCGGAGTTCAGGACCTCAAATGAAAAATAACCCAGCAACTCCAGAACCTGAGGCGGGAGGACAGGACATCGGAGGCCACTGGGCGACTCAGACTCTGTCTCAAAAATTTAAAAAGAAAACAAACTAAAGAGGGCTGTGGCTCAGGGGTAGCGCGTCTCCAGTCTCAAGCCCAAAAAGCCTCCCCGACCTACCTACCTCCCGGGCGGAAGCCGTCTGCCTTCTCTCAGACCGCGGGCGCACACGCTCAGGGCGGGTCCTGAGGCGCAGGCCAATCAGTAGACGCGAGCGAAGGAGACAGGCCAATCAGCAGGAGAAGGCGTGCCTCCGCTCTCTGGCGCGTGTAGGTCAGTGGAGCGCGCAGCTCTGCGCTGCTACTGCAGGTCCCGCTGCTGAGCGAGAACCCAGGTTGCTTGCCACGCGATGCCACAAGGTCAACATCAAGGAGGTTGGGAGATGGTGAGTGCGCGGCTCTGCGCCCCGAAGGGAGGATGTGGAACCGGAGCTGGATATGGCGGGAGCAGGAAGTGGTGGCCGGGACTGCGCGGTCCCCTCTGGAGTCCAGAGTGCTGCTCTGGGGCGGCTCAGCTCCCAGTCCCCTCTGGCATTTCAGGCGGGTGGAGTAAGCAGCTGGACGCTGTACGTCCTGTCCCCTTCCTACCCCTTGTGTTGGCTTCAGCCCCTCGCGTTCTGACCCCTCCCTGTGTGGTGGCGTCAGCCCCTGGGGTCCTATTCCCTCCCCGCGCCATGTGGTGGCTTCAGCCCCTCGGGTCCTGTCCCCTCTCTTGGTACTTGGTTAAGCCTAGACCGTTTCTCTCCCAGCACTAGGTACAGGAAGATGCAAACCACAGGACAATGTAGTTAGGGTGCCCTAAGTGTGGTCCCAATCTTCCTCACCTCAGGTGACACTGATTCTTTTTTTTTTTTTTTTTTGGTTGTTCAAAACATTGCAAATCTCATGATATATCATCTTTCATACATTTGATTCAATTGGGTTATGAACTCCCATTTTTACCCTAAATATAAATTGCAGAATCACATGGGTTACACACTCACATTTTTACATAATGGCATATTAGTGACTGTTGTATTCTGCTACTTTTCCTATCCCCTACTATCCCCCCTCCCCTCCCCTCTCATCATCCCTCTCTACCTCATCTGCTGTTGTTCAATTCTCTCCCTTGTTTCCCCCCCCCCTTTCCCCTCACATCCTCTTCTATGTAATTTTGGTGACACTGATTCTTGGTGATTCTGTCCCAGTGATATGGCACACGTCCTAAGGCTGGACTCATGCCCAACTCCACCACAGCTTTTCTTACTCATTTGATGGCAGGTATTTTTTTTTTTCAGTTGTGCAATGTATGTCTTTGAATTCATTTATAGCTTTGACTAAGGGCGACTTGAAGCACAAGATGTTCAACAAGGTGTCCATGGATGCAGGGAGAATCAGGACTCACCTATCCCACCGTATGTTCAACTTCACCCCCTTGACATCTGACTTTTATGATAATGGTTGGGTGGAACCTTGCACATTCTGCACACACACTGCCCAAGTACTTACCTTTACATTTGGGCATTATCATTCATTCACGTTTAATCTTATCCTCAATGAGGTTGGATTTATATAGGCCTTCTTCATCGTACTAAAAATACAAAGCTTTTACATACATGTAGATTCAGGTATGGATTTTGTTTGTATTATGATCCCTTGGTCTTTATTATTACAAAGTTATAGTTTCATAATATACATCAGGGTCAGGAAAAGACAACTTCTTTTGCTCTTGTAATTCAGAAATTTCTTGGCTGATTTCATATATATTTAACTTCCAGATGGATTTTAGAACTTTTTGCTTTGGTCCCTTCTTCAACTAAAAATGAAGAGGCTGTTGGTCAATGGTAGAGTGCTTGACTAGCACATGTGAGGCACTGGGTTTGATTCTCAGCATCACATAAAAATAAATAAAATAAAGGTATTGTGTCCATCTACAACCAAAAAGGATTTTTTTTTTTTTTAAGTAAAGCATGTGGCTTGGGTTGTGGCTCAGTTATGGAGTGCTCTCCTAGCATGCACAGGGCACTGGGTTCAATCCTCAGCACCACATAAATGTAAAATAAAGATATTGGGTCCACCTAAAACTTAAGAATAAATAAAGCATGCTGAAGTATTTTATATATATATATATATAGAGAGAGAGAGAGAGATAGATAGATAGATAGTCAATGGACATTGATTTTATTTATATATTTATATGCAGTCCTGAGAATTGAATCCAGTACCTCACACATGCTAGGCAATTACTCTACCACTGAACCACAACCCCAGCCCCAAGCTGAAATTTTCATGGGATATACTTTAGATTAATTCAGGGGAAATTGTTTGTCTTTGTAGTGATAAGTTTAGTGTAAATAATTGAGTCTTTTATCTGATTTAACATATTTTTATTTTTTTATAAATTTTACAATTCTCTGAACATGTATTCATATAAAATAACCCAAGCATGTGACATCTACATAAAATTTATGTGATGTTTACACTATTTGCTAAACTGAATGTTTATTCAGTCAGATATTATTGTTACTAGTGCGTGGCTGGCTTCTGAAAGCATTTTCCCACCCTTTATTGCTTGTCTTCCTGGCTGTACTCCCCTTTCCCATACCCTGGGTATCAGCTGTTTGCATCAGTACTACTGTGCCCATCTCTGTTATCATGGTCCTCCAGTTCTTGAGAATGCATTTCTTCCATATCTTCACCAATACTGTTTAATCTTATCTCTCTGGTGTGATTTTATTTTGTATTTCTCTTATTCTAAAAAATTTGGATTTTTTTATGATCATTGAAGACTCAGATCTCCTGTGTAAAGGGGCTGTTCCATTCTCTTGCTTGCTTTTTTGGGGGGTCCCTGTCTTTCCCTTTCTTATTAAAAGTGTTTGTTATATGTAAGGCAGTTACTTTCTCCCAGTCTGACCCTTTGTTTTGTATCTTTTGATGTATCATTTGAGGAATATTGGTTTTATTTTAATATTTCCCATTTTATGAAATTTTTTAAATATTGTTTGTATTACTTTGAAAATAAATAACTCCCTTTTTTTCTTTTGTGTGGTTGTGATAATTGAAACCACATCCTTAGCCCCATTTAAATTTTGCCCAGGGTGACATTGATCTTGGGATTCTACTGCCTCAGCTTCCTGAGCCACTAATATTACATACAAGTGTTCACCACCATGTCCATTGTATAACTTCTGAATGCATTTTTTATATTTAATATTTATATTACCTCTATAAATGATTTCTTAAGTGGTATGAGGAAAGGGTACAGTAGGATTTGGGGGTTTTATTTTGTTTTGTCATACAGATATCCTATTGTCAGGCAGCTTTCTTTGGAAAGGTTGTAATTTTCTTCCTTGCTGCAATGTGCTTTATGTCATTCATTGCTGTCTAGATGGCAAAGGTCCTTTAAGGTCTCTGTCTTTGGCTCTGTGGGTCTGCTGTGGTTGCTAGACCCTCAGAGCCCACATCATGTGCGACAGGGTGGTTTTCCTCGGTGATGGGCTTCATGCATATACATGTCTGTCAGGTGGAGTGTTGTAGTCCGCTCTCTGGCTTCTAGGTCATCTAGGCTTCTGCCAGTGCTCTGTGGTTTGGAAAATGCCAGAGTCACCTTAGGTTGCACTTCCCAAAGTAGATCCCCATGGTTAAGGGGGGCAACAACTTATATGTATATGTGTCACAATTAGATGTATGTAATCAATGTGCAGTTTTCATTTGTCAAATTTACCAGAGCTCGTTCAAGTTCTTTTGTCTTCTAATAGCAAGAAATTCTGGCTTTGCTGATATTCTGTGGCATGTTCATTTTTTTTTTTGTGGTGCTGAGGCATGTTCATTTTTAATATCTTTAAATTTGACTCATTTGTTTAGGGTTTTTTATCTACTCTCCTTTCTTAGAAATTTTGCCTTTTCCAAACCATTACTACTGATATTTAGCTAATGTGTTCTTGGTCTCTCTTTTACTTTACCTATTTAAGAGTATGTGATTTCGTTTTAACCACAGCTGTAGATGCCTAGCATATTTTTCAGGTTTATAGAGGTATAATTGATGTGTACATATTTGAAATGTACACTTCAATCTTGACATAGTTACATATGTGTGAAGTTAGCATAACCTTCAACATAGTTAATATATCTAATGCCAATAGTGTTTCCTGTGCCCTTTTAAAGTCCCTCCCTTTTGTTCTTTTTCACCACCTTTTATTTAATGAATTTGGTCTTATTTTGCAAAATAAGTAAATGAACAAAAAGAACAAGCCTCGATGTTACATGAAATAATGAATGGCCACAAGGGGAGTTCACCATGCACCGACTATCAGCACTAAGAAACAGCAACATGATGAAGCCTGGGCAATCCCTCCCTGCCCTCCTCCTCTTACCACCCCTCCACCCTCCTTAGTGGTAACTTCTGATTCTCTGATCTAGCTACTTCTTAGAGTATCTTCCTTTCAAAAGCAAAACAAAAAACAGAAGTAGAAGTGTGACCACTTCTTTATTAAATTACAAAAAGGGAAGAAGGAGGCAGCTCTTTTTCCAGGCCAGGGATAGTTAATCTGGATTGCCTACTTGATTGGACTGAGAGGTGCCTAAGATTAAGAGGCTACTAGTATCAGGGAACATGTTTCTACAAATGATTGGCTTGTGAGACAGCACACCAAAGGTGCAGCCATTCTAAATGTGGGCAGCACAGTCTAGTAGGTTGGGGCCTGGATGAAACTGGAAGTTGGAAGAGGGAGGAAGCTACTCATGTGTGAGCTTAGTGCTTCTAGGGCAGGTGCTTTGATTGCTGTGTGATCTCCTGAGACCTTGGACTCCTGTTCTTTCACTCTTCCAAAGTGGACTCTGACCAGAGATTTCCAAGCCGTCTGTCTCCAGCTAGGGCTGCATCATTAGTCCTTCCAACTCTCAGCTTCCTGGGCTGAGCAGCTTCTGGTTCCTGTAGCTGTCCAACCTGCAGAGAGCTACTGTGGGACTGTCCAGCTTCTAGTCTGAGGGCAAGGACTGGTGGGATGGGCTGGGGAAAACAAGGAGATGGAGATGGGCAGCTGGGAGCTCAAATGGACAGGTTAGAAAGTGGAACTACAGCAGATGTAGGCTGGAGGAGCAGTGTCTGGAGAGGAGGAATTGAGACGGCTGGGAGAAAGGAGGGGAGGACCCTGAAACATTTCCCGGAGCCTGCGGCCAGGTGAATCGGGGTGCACTTGTCTGTTTCCACCCTTGGCTTCTGGCCCTAGGGGCCTCATGGTAGAGGTATGATGCTGTCACCAAATTTCCTACCTTCTCCCAGTCGCAGACATTTCCCTGCACACCACTGCCTTCATTGTGGGCCTCTCCACCCTCCTCTTCCTCATCCCTGTACCCTTTCATCCTCCTCCTCCTCAGCAGTCTCCTCTTCCTCCTCAGCTCTGTTCTCACTGCAGCTTTCCTTTGCTCTTTCCAGCTTGCCTTCTCCTCAGGTCCTGGGAACTTACTACACCACTGCCTCTGTGCTCTTCTTCCCCATGGTTTAGACTGGGATGGGCCAGCTGGAGCAGGGGTCCTTGGACTCAGGAGGGAAGTGGCAGCTGGAACTTGGTATGGTCTGAATGTCAGCTTCTCTCAATAGTATTGATTTATACTCCATTTCAGATATTTACATGTCACTTGAATTTTCCTTCTTTGCAAAGTGCTTTTTGGAATATCTCAGCAGTGTCCATCAGTTTCCTCACAAGTGTATGATATCTCATACATTCTGTACAATAAGGCTTTTACTAAAAGTGTAGACACTGTAAGCATCTTTTCCAACTCCATGTTTTCCTTTGAACAGTAGAGATACATGAGCTTAAAATGAAAAAAGTGGGATTCAGAGATAGAAATCCATAGAAGTTTATAGGGAAGAATCTTAGAAATTGAGTAACACAGAGAAAGTTGATTGTGTGTGTGAGTCTGTGAGTAAAAAATTAAATAGATGAGGGAAAAATAGAAGGCTCAAATAACTAAAATCAGAGAGTAAAGGGAGAACATTACTGCCTAGTTTACACCAAGAAAAGAATAGTAAGAGAAGAATAATGGGCTGGGGATGTTGCTCTAGTGGTAGCGTGCTCACCTGGATGCGAGGGGCACTGGGTTCGATCCTCAACACCACATAAAAATAAAAAATAAAAATATTGTGTCCAACTAAAACTAAAAAATATTTTTAAAAGAGAAGAATAATAGAAACAGTAGTGTGCCAGTATATTAGATTATTTAGATTGAATGGGCAAATTTCAAGTCATGCAAAACTATGAATGCTGATTCAAGGAAAGCAGTAATCTGCAAGCAGTGTTCTACTCAGATTGTTTTTATTGATAAAATCAACTGTGTTCTGAGAAAATATTCCCAGAGCTATACTGCTGAATTCTATTAAACCTCTGCAGGAGTCATCCAAGAAACGGGGTTGAGAGGCCAAGAGTTACTTAACATACTGCACTGCATCAGAACAACCCCAAACCCAAGTCACCATCTCAGCAAATGGACAGACAGATTTGATTGGCTGAGGTGTCTTCTCTTCAGTAGTTATCCATAGGGTCTCTGGTGTTTTAAGTGTGCATTGCACAGAGATCAGAACCTGGCTGGCTTTTGCTCTTCATTTAAGTCGATGCCTGTCAGACATGGTCATTCTTAGGGTGAGGCAGCTCTTCATCCTTCTCAGTTCCTACTTCATTTGTCGTGCTGCCTTTCAGGCCTAGGTACATACATGTTATCAAGTTAAGAAAGGTGTTCTGAGTTCTTTATTGCAAGTGGGATAATACTTTCAGAATTTTTTCCAGCCAGGTTTAGTGACAAAGGCCAATAATCCCAGTGGCTTAGGAGGTTGAGGCAAGAGGATTACAGGTTTGAAGCCAGCCTCTTAGCAAGGAACTTAACAATGCCCTGTCTCAAAAAATAAAAATAAAAAGGTCTGGGGATGTAGCTCAGGGGTTAAGCACCCCTGGGTTCAATCCTTGGCACCAAAAAAACAAAAACTTTCCATGTCTCTGTGGATGATCACATTATTTTTTCAATAGAACTATGAATACAGTGAAATGTATTAGTTGATTTCATAATATTAAACATTTCTTTATTCCTAGAACGAATTTGAAAGAGCATCTTCCTCAGTTTTCTCTTGGTCACCCCCTGAGAGTTATTGCTTCCTCAGACTCCATCTGGTTTCTACTCCGTCCATCTTGTAGGTTCTCTCACTCTGGTGGCCTCAGCTATCCCTGGTGTTCCACTGCTTTCTGAATATCATCTTCTCCTTAAATCTTCCTCTGAGCTGCAGACCCTGTGTCCACATGGCTTCCCAGTGTTTGGCCACAGAGACTTCAACACAGTGTTGCAGTTCAGTTCACCTCCTGCCCCTCACGGTCATTTCCTTTTCCTCAGCTTTGGTCTTGAGCACCATCGTCTACCCAGGAAGTGAACTCCCATCTTCACCTCTGTACGGCCAATGGGTACCAAATTCTTGTCCTGTTTTTTTTTTCTGTCATTTTTTTCTTTTTCTGTTGTGTCCTCCACTTTGTATTGTTGATGTTAGGGTTAGCTGTGTCACCCAATTTCTTCCCCTCTGACTCCTCCTTCAGTTCTCCCCAGCTCTCCTTACACAGGATGACTTTCAGAATGCAGGACTGTTAGGTAATTTGCCGCCTCTCGTTGTCCCCTCCTTATTTACATCTGTGTTTTAGGAGGTGGGTGGTGTTCGCTTTTGTAGGGACACTATAAAGTCTCTGGGTATAGGAAGGAAACATGAGTATGATGTGCTTCTATTTATGTGGAATTCGTGTTGCTGGAACTAGGTAAAATTTTAAATTGAAAATCACAGTACTGTCTATTTCTTAAGCGCGTCCCCTCCTGGGCTGCTCTTCTCAGCACAGGGACATCCTGCATGCGGTGTGACTGTCAGGTTTGTGCTTTGACAGCATGACCCCTTTGCTCCATTCTGGTGAGAAGGCTTTCCAGTGGACGAGCTGAACCCCTGAGTCATGTCAGTGAGGTACAGCCTAATTGAAGAGCAGGCTGTTTTCTACTTCTTTGTTATTGCATTCAACGCTGAACATGTGAATCTAACTGTTCATTGTATTGCTTCAAATGTGTTTTTTCTTATGTCTTTAGGCTGGGTTGTCAGCTCTTTTCAGAAGCAAAGCTTCATTTATCTTGTTCTTGCTAGGAATGAAAACAGTTCTCAATCTAAGGTGGGGATTATATATGGTATTTCTTGGAGTTACTGAATTTCTACAGAGAATAAAAATCCGCTTGCCCCTTAAGTAACAGGCACATTCTTACAGAAGTGTGAGCACTTGTGATCCTGCTCTGACCCATGCTGAAGACTTGTGAGAGAAATTTTCCTTTACAGTGTCCAGTGTCCTTTGAGGAATTGTCAGTGGACTTCACCTGGGAGGAGTGGAAGGCCCTCGATGACTCTCAGAGAAACCTCTACAAGGATGTGATGCTGGAGACCTGCAGCAGCCTTGTGTCCTTGGGTGAGTGACTGACTCCCTGGTAACTCTCATGGCAGTTATTTTCTTTGGGGTTGGTAAATGTAGGAACCATTTCTAAGTTTTAATTCTAATTATGTCATATATTTTAGTGGAAACTATAATTGTAAATTTTTTATGTAGTGTGATGTGGCCACCACTCTTGTAGTCTCTGTTTCTTTGAGTCAGCTTTGGCTTCGCACATGAATGAGAGCTTCTGGTACGTGTCTTCCTGTTTCACTTAGCATGGTGTTCTTCAATTCCCTCTGTGTTGCTACAAATGACAAATTGGGGTTTTAATGGCTGAGTGTTATCCCTGGTATTCGTGTTCCATGTTTTCTTCGTCCATTTGTCTGTGAGTGGGCACTGTGGTTGATTCCTTATCATGACTTTTGTGCTCAGCACTGCAGTGGATGTGCAAGTGCACACAGTTCTTCTGGGCTCCAGGGGAGTTCCACTGCTGGTTTTCACAGGGGTCTCCTTGCCCCATCCCACCTCAGCAATGCCGTTTTCCTTCCTTCACCTCCACCAGCACTTAACTCTGCCATTTTTACTGGGGCAGTGGTGCCTCACAGTGGTTTTCACTGGCTCTTCCCTGGCGATGGGAGCTGCTGAGCATCTGTTCGTACTCTCTCCTGGGCTATTTGTGTGTCTCTTTTGGGACACGTCTCTTAAAGTCATTCACCTGATTTTTAACTGGAATATTTGTTTCCTGCTCTTGAGTTGAAGTCCTTCTGAGCTGTGGAAACTACTCCCTGTTGGATGGAGAGTCCATGAGCATTCTCTCCCACTGTGCATGCTGGCACTTCTTCCTCCTGGTCCTTTTCTGCATAGCAGCCTTATCCACATAGCAAGGCCCCATCTCAAAGCAGGGCTTTGCCCAATCAGCACATGGAAGTGTCCCCTTCTGTTTTCCTGGGCAGTTTTGTGGTTTCACCTCCTTTCCTGATCCACACTGAGTTGGTTTCTGTGTATGTTGAGAGGAGGCTCTGCCATTTTTCTTCTATACACAGATACACAGTTCCCTCTTACTGAAGAAAGCATCCTTTCCAGATGCATGATCTTGCTGCCTGGGTGGAAATCTGTCAACTGTGATTAAATGGACTTACCACTGTTATTTCTGTCATGTTCCCTTGGTCTGTTTGTCTGTCCTCATGCAGTACCATGCTATTCTGGTTACTGCCATCTTGTAGTGTGTTTTGGAGACAGGTTTTGTGATGACTACAGATTTGATCTTTTAGTTCAGTATTGCTTTTAGTATTTGGGGTCTTTTACACATTAATACAGTGTTTAGAACTTTTTTCTGCTTCCATGCAATTGCTATTGGTATTTAGATAAGGGTTTTATTGAATCTACAAATCATTTGGGTACTAGAGGCACTTTAGCAATGTTCTTCTGATTAATGACAATAGGATGTTTGTCCATTTTTTATGTCTTATTCACTTTCTTTCATCTGTGTGTTATAATCTCATTGTAAAGTCCTTCACTTACTTGGTTAAATTTACTTTAAGGTGTTTTATTTTTCATTAGCTATTATAAACAGGATTACTTTCTGGATTTCTATCTCAGTAATAATAATATAAAAATTACCATTTTATGTTGATTTGTTTCCTGCAACATTACTGAATTCCTGTATAGGTTTTTGCTCAAGTTTTTGGTTTTCCTATGTATCAAATTATGTAGTCGTTCTATCATGATAAATTGACCTCCTTTCTGATCTGGATGCCCTTTATTTGGTTCCCTCATCTTATTGCTATGGTAAGACTTCCAATACCATGTTGAATAATTGTGGTGAATGTGGATATGCTTGTCTTGTCATTTCTTAGAGGAAATGACATCAGGTTTTCCCCATTTGTTAAGACATAGGCTTGGATTTTGCCATATTCAGTTCACAGTAGTGTTGAGGTACAATTTCTTTTTATCTAATTTTTTAGAGATATGCTAAGGAAAAATTTTATCAAATTCCTTCTTATATCAATTGAGATGTTTATATTGTTATTAATCCTTCATTCTGTTTTGGAATCCTGAATTACATTTACAGATTGGCATATGTTGAGCCATCCCTGGGACAAGTCACACATGATCAAGCTATATAATCTTTTCTTGTGTTCTGTTGAATTTGATCTGGTAAAATATATTCATCAGAAATATTGTTCTTCAATTTTTTTCTTGTGTTTTTGTTTGATTTTGGTATAAAGATAATAATGATATATAATGAATTTAGAAAGGTTCCTTTAATAATTTATAATAATTTAAAAAGCATTGATGTTAATTCTTTTTTTTTTTAATTTGAAGCTGCTAATTCTGGGCTTTATTTGTGGGAGACTTTTTTTAAAGATTAGGCTTTTTTTTCACCTTTATTTTATTTATTTTTATATGGTGCTGAGGATCAAACCCAGCACCTCGCACGTACTAGGCAAGTGCTCTACCACTGAGCCACAACCCTAGCCCCTGTGGGAGACTTTTTAATACTGAATCAATCTCATTACTTACTATTGGTCATTCAGATGTTGTGTATCATGATAGTTCTGTTTTCTTCAACTGTTGGGTGTAAATGTCTGTAAGGTCCTTTTCGTCTGTATTATGGTTTAACATCAGTATTTCTCTCTGTTTTGTCAGGACGATCTGTCCAGTGACTGTTGAAATATTGCTTTAGCCTTCTGCCTCTCCTTTCAGGTCTAGTAACATTCCCTTGTTAAGTTGGTGCTCATACTCCAGCACAGGTGTGCATGCGTTTGTGGATGGATCCTTTTCCATTATGTAGTGTCCATCTCTGTCTTTTGTATTCTGCAGCACAGGTGCAGGTGCTTCTGCTTGCTTTGTATCTGTTTGCAGGCTGCATCCTTTTCCACTTTTCCACTCTTCCACTTCAAGCCCTGCCGCCTCTACAGGTGAAGTGGTTTTCTTTTCAGCAGGTTATCCTTGGGTCTAATTTTATTTTTATTCATTCAGCCAGTCTGTGTCTTTCTTCGGAAATTGTGTTTATAGTCACGGTTATTTTGATAAGACATCTTTCCTCATTCTGTAATTTTTTATGTTGCTGTGTGTTCTTTACTCTTTTCCTCCTGATTATCTTGTTTGATGGCTTTCTGTATTGGGGGCCTTGTTCTGTTTTCCTCTGTGTGTCCACTCTGCAGCTGAGTTTTGGACCTTCTCATGTCTGTGAGGATGGTAGTTGCCATCCTTCTACTTCTAATGCAGGACTTCCTCAGGCACTTGTGGGGCTGGGGTGATAATGATGAATCCCTCAAATTTTACTTATCTTGAAAAATCTTTTATTCCTTTATTTCTGAAGGATAGCTTTTGGGGGTTTTGTTGTTTGTTTGTTTTTGTACCAGGAATTGAATCCAGGGGTACTTAACCACTGAGCCACTGGGATTACAGGTGTTCACACCATGCCCAGGTGAAGGATAACTTTTCTAGGTGTAGTATTTTTTCTTTTTTATGTTGGAAAAAAGAAACTATATTTAGAATAGCCAGCTGGACTCTGTTTAGATGATCCCAATTTGTTGGCATCGTCCATAGCATCATAATCAGGAGCCAGTTGAACATATGCCTTTTTCTCTCCATCAGGCCTGATCAGGGTGTTAACCTTGGCCACATCAATGTCATAGAGCTTCTTTATAGCTTGTTTGATCTGGTGTTTGTTGGCCTTGACATCCACAATAAAAAAAGTGTGTTGTTGTCTTCAGTCTTCTTCATGGCTGACTCAGTGGTCAGAGGGAATTTGATGATGGCATAGGGGTCAAGCTTGTTTCTCCTGGGGGCGCTTTTCCAGGGATATTTGGGCTGCCTCCAGAGCCACAGTGTCTTGGGTTGCCTGAAGGTAGGTGACATGCGGATCTTCTTCTTTTTATGACTGTGGACATCCTTCAACACTGCTTTCTTGGCTTTCAAAGCTTCTGCTTTGGCTTCAGCTTTGGGAGGGGCAGGAGCTTCCTTTTTTAGCTTTCGGCACCATCTTTTTGCATTTTTTTTTTTTTAAGGAATTTCAGTGTATCCTCTATTTGTATTCTGGCCTGTAAGGTCTCAGCTGAGAGATCTGCTCTTCCTGTTTGTTTGTTTGTTTGTTTGTTTGTTTGTTTGGTTTTTAGTCTGTGGCTTGATGTTTTTCTCTTGCAGTTTTCATAATTCTATTTGTCTTGTACTTCTGATAGTTCCATTATACTGTGACTCAGAAATTTTATTGATGAAATCTATTAGGCCCCTCTGAGCTTCCTGGATCTAGATGTCCATGTTTTCCCTGGTCTAAATTTCACCAGTTAGTTTATTGCATAAGATTCTCTTCTTCTGGAATAGCCATAATGTAAATGTCTCTTTGTTAATGATGTTCCATGTGTTTTAAAGGTTTTTCTTCATTTTTTATATTTTTTAAAAAACGTAACTTGGTGATTTCAGAATACCCATCTTCAAGATCAGAAATTTGTTTTTCTTCTTCATAAATTCTAATGAAGCTTTCAGCTGGCTTTCTTTTCTTTCTTTAAAAATTTGCATTAATTTATTTTGTAGCACCAAAATTTGATGGTTACTTTTGCAGCCTCTAACTCTTCAACCAGTTTCTCCTTCATATCAAAAGCTGCCTTTCTGATTGCCTGTCTTCTGCCTGTATTCTCTCAGGTCTGCTTGCACTCTCTCACATCATTCTCTGGAATTCTTTCTATTTGACTCTTCTTCATTGTTAGGTCCCAGCCTCCGAGGAATGAGTGCTACCTGTCTCACAGATGTCCTCACTGGCGTCATCTGGCTCAGCTTCTGAGGGCAGGTAGCTGCCTTCAGTGACCCAACATCACAGTTTAGCACAAGTCTCCCATTGTTCTTCATTAATAGGACATAGCATTATTAAACCTGAGAGGATCTTCAAGTTGGAGCAAGGATCTGGGCCATGGATGGCAAAGGAAGCCCCACACCAGCACCTCCCAGGTCAGTCCACACCTCCTGGCCAGGGAGGTCAGGGTGGTGGTATCTCAGCAGACGGCAGCTGTGTGGGATTGTTCTCACTAGTTTATCCCAGTCCCCATCCCAAAGGCAGCTGGTCTCATGCCTCAGACACAAAGATGATTTCTCATATTTCAATACATTTCCTTTCTTTGTTGCTGATATGTAATTTTTTTTTTTTGGTAGTCTTACTTAAAATCCAGTTCCTATTTCGTTCTAGTTAGACATTTTTGTTGATTACTTACTTTCTCAAAATTGTGTTTCTAAGAACCATAAGATAAATTAGATTAGGAAGTTAGAGGTCGATGTCACTTTCTAGTGTGGGAAGATCATTTTCATCAGCAGAGCCCTCTAGGTTTCTACTGAAGCTTCTCAGTGAACAGTGAAGTGAGCAGCTTTTTCCTGAAACTATATTCCAGCTCAGGTGGAGAACAAGTCATTTGTACCTGCATCCTATAAGTAGAATATTTCCATTGCAAATCTGAAAGAGAAGCAATGTAGGATGAGATTTTACTCACATCTTCTGTGAAAACTAACTGCAGGCAAAAACTAAGAACAGGCAAAAGAAATGGCAGATAAAAAATCATCACTAACATCTACTACTAGGCACCAGGTGAATATTTCAGCTAAACATTTCCCTGTTTCAAAAAAGTAAAATAAACCAAGCAAAAAAGTAGCATGATTTGATGCCAACATATATTAATGTAATTTCTTAAATTTACTCCAGACAAAATCCACACACACATCATAACTCAATATAATCATCAGGAGGTCTTACATCTTTAACACCTTTATGTTTGAATTCCATAGAAATGTTTACATGTATTTCACAATATTCCTTTTATACTATTTTAGATGTCCATAAAGTGAATGACCAGGTTGGGGCCAGCCAAGATCACAAAGTGAAACATCCTTGGCAAGTTGTCACAGCCAATGGCAGCAGATCAATAGAGGAGAGGTGTGAATCAAGAAGAACACATGAAGTGAGCCCACTCCATATTCCAGCTCTGACTGCACAGAGTGGAAGTTCTTCAAGGACCAAGTCTGAGGACTTTCACAGATGGAAAAATGAGCTTCTCCACAGTGAGCAAGGTGATGTACAGGCAGGAGAGAGGCCTAATGACCCTAAGGCAACTAGGAAGCCCCTCAGATGTGCTGAGCATATTAGTCCAGAGACCAAAGTCCAGAGTGTGCAGGGCCATTGCCAGCATTATGGACAGAGGAGAGCCTTGATTATGAGGACAGTACTGTCAACACAGAAGAGATTTCATATGGAAAACTCTGCCAGCTCTGGCCATGAATGTGTGAGACTCCTTGGTAAGGCATTGCCTATTGTTCAAGGGTTGAGTCAAGTGAAGGAAAAGAGTTTTGATAATGATGTGTGTGGGGAGACATTTTGTAAAGCGTCTGACCTCACTGAGCATAAAACCATACACAGTGGACGGCAGAATAACGAATGCAGTGGTCGTGACAGGCCTGTCATTAAGAGGCTGTGCCTTTTAGACCATCAGAGAACAGATGCAAGACAGAAGCCATGTGGCCATGATGAGTCTGAGGACGTCAGTCAGAAGACACAGGTGAGCATGCGTCAGGGAATCCATGGGGGAGAACAGCCCTGTGGAGCATATGAAAGTGAACAAAGTTTTAACCAGAAGGAAAAACTCAAAAGGCATCAAAGAACCTACACAGGTGAGAAGCCACATGCATGCAAAGTTTGTGGTAAGACGTTCAACTATAAATCACAGCTCACTGCACATCAGAGAACCCACATGGGTGACAAGCCGCACGCATGTGAAGAATGTGGGAAGACCTTCTCCTGTAAATCACAGCTCACTGCACATCAGAGAACCCACACGGGTGACAAGCCCTATGCATGTGAAGAGTGCGGGAAGACATTTAACCAAAAGTCAAACCTCAGGGTACACCAGAGAACCCACACAGGTGAGAAGCCATACAGATGCAGTGTGTGTGTGAAAACCTTTTACTGTAAGTCACATCTCACCAGACATCAGGGAATCCACTCGGGTAAGAAGCCCTATGAATGTAAAGAATGCAGGAAGTCCTTCTACTGTAAGCCACACCTCACTGTGCATCAGAGAATTCTTACAGGTGACAAGCCCTACACATGTGAAGAGTGTGGAAAGACATTCAACCAGAACTCAAACCTCAGGGTGCACCAGAGAACACACACGGGTGAGAAGCCCTTTGAATGTGATGTATGTCAGAAGGCCTTTTACCATAAGTCACACCTCCAAAGGCATCAGGGAACTCACAGGTGAGAAGCCCCACGCACGTAAACCTTGCAGGGAATTCCTCCAGATGTCTTCCTTCACTGTACATCAGAGAACTCACATGGGAGAATGCTGTGGATCTGAGAATACAGCTCTTACAGAAGCCCGCTCACCAGGCAACATAATGAGGACACACCTGTAAGAGTATGGGAGACGATGTCATGGAAGGGTGCAGAAGAGCAGGTATCAGGAAGCAACCAGAGCCCCATGCAGTGGAGATACACTGTGTTCTCCAACAGCCGTGCTCGGCTCTGGGAATCACAGCAGTCATGTAACTGCTGCCAGCCTAGCCCCTTCGAAGCCTCCCATTCTGTTTTTCCCTGGGTTTACATGAGCTATGGTTCTAAAGCAGCCATCACCACAGGTCATGGTCACTATGATTAGAGAGCATAGGTCTCCCTGCTTTTCTCCCAGAATTTCCTGTTTTCAGTTTCCATGAGTGAACCAGGCTGAACCTCTCCACACGATATCTGCATCACAGTACTGATCATTTAGCCTACTTCATGTCACAAGCTCTGAGAACTCAAATCTTCTTTTATACTGCAGAGCTCACACAGGAGAGAGACCTGTGCTGTCACCCTTTATTCTCAAGTCATTTCATTAAAAGTAAAAGCAATCATGGCAAAATGACAAGAAATTGTGAATGCCTTATCAGGTGTAGACATTTAATTGGACAGTTTGAATAAAGTAAATTTTCTTAAGTTTCTTTAATGTGTGAAATTTTTTAATAAAACTTCAAACGTTAAAAAAAATTGGTACATTATAATTATACATAATTGTAAAAAAAATCATTACTGTATATTTGAGCTTGCACACAATGTGACAGTATAATTTGTTCAATTTTGTTCTTCAGTACCATATTTTTATGTATAAGAAATTATAATGGCTGGTCATGGTGGCACATACCTGTAATCCCAGTGGCTTGGCAGGCTGAGGCAAGAGGATCATGAGTTCAAAACCAGCCTCAGGAAATTAGCAGGGCCCTAAGCAACTCAGCAAGACATTGTCTCTAAATAAAATACAAAATAGAGCTGAGGATGTGCCTCAGTGGCTAAGTATCCCTGGTTCAATCCTTGGTACCAAAAAAAAAAAATTGTAATGAATGAAAATTTATATGATTTGGACATTAATTTTCAAAGGAAAGTGTTAAATATCGAATTGGAAACTATTTTAAAGTATCTAACTACATACCAGTAAACACCTGTGAATCAAACATGAATATAATGCTTTTTATCAGCACACTGGTCTGAGCCTTAGAACATTGTGGTCTTAAAACTGGAGGTGGTAGCTGCCTCGTGTTGTGATGGGCAGAGGCTGGGCTTGCTGTTGAGGAGCCTACCATGCACACAATCCTGTGTGTACAATTTATGCGCTGCATATTGATTTGACAAACATTCCATGATGGAACCCAGCATAACTGTGCTGGTTGCTTTTCATCCTAAGTACAGTGGATGGGGCTTGGAGTGTAGCCCAGGGCAGTGCTCATGCTCAGCATGCAGGAGGTCCTGTTTCAGCACCCAGCATAGATAAGCAAGCATACATTTAAAGTTTCATTAAATTTTTCATATTAAATGATATTCTAACTCACTAATTCTGTGCTGGACACATACGCATGCACACAGAGAAGCAGGTAATTGCAAATCTGTTCTTTCCTTTTGTGTTTTGAGGTACAGAAAGTGTGTTTGGTGCACACAGATACACCTAGTGTTCCATGGAGGATTTCCCAGGGTCATCAACTGTCCAGATCATTGGCATATTTGAGGAGAATGATTGTCATGGGCAACAAATGACATTTTATCATTTAAATGTCCTGTCACTGAATTTGTTCAGCTGTGTATTAATTTCCTATTACACATAACAGCATAACAAGTGGCATAAAACAACACTCTTACTTTTTTACAGTTCATACATCAGAAGTCCAGCAGGCTCAGTCTTTTCCCACGAGACCAAAGTCAAGGTGTCACAGGTGTGAGAACTGTTCTTGGGGCTCCAGGAGGAATCTGGTGCCAGGACCATTCAGCTGTTCAGAATTCTTTCTCACAGTTCTCACAATGGCACAAAATCATGCTGCCATGTCCTAACTTCCTCTTCTGTCGTGGCTCTTTTTTCTGATTAAAATGCACATTGGGTCTGTCTAGATAATCCAGGGTGATCCTCCTGTTTTAAGGTCACATGATTCGTAACCTTTGTTATATCAGCAGAGTGGGGTTTTTTGCATGTAATATAACAACCACAGGAGTAGAACCAGGGATGAACATCCAACTGCAACATTTATGAGACCAGTGAATTTTGCCATGAAAACATTTAAAAATTGTCAAGCTTGCAATTTACCACTTAACAAAAGTTAATCGATACACTGTATATGGATTATAGTACACTTTATGTTTACATACATTTCATATTTTAACATTCTACATGTGTGTGAACTCTTATTTTTTCCCCAAAATTTTCACATGAACTTTCATTGAGTTGTGTGAATCCCAAGACTTCCAATGCTTCCTGTTGGCTCACATGTTTTCCTTGCATTTATTTTTTTTTAACATTTACTTTTTAGGAGTAGTTGGACACAATACGTTTATTTAATTTATTTATTTTTATGTGGTGCTCAGGATCGAACCCAAGACCTCACACGTGCTATACGAGTGCTACACCACTGAGCCACAGTCTCAGCCCTTCTTTGCCTTTCTTTTGAGACCCTTTTTAAGTTCTATGTGTAAAATCCCATGCTCTGCATCTAACATGCAATGTAAAGCTCAGAATAAGTATGCAAGTAGAGGGAAAGGAACAGAGGGATGGAGGAGGGAGGGGAAGGAGAAGTCCTGGGGACTGAATTTGAACAAATTACATTCCAGCTTTTATAATTATGTAAAATGAATCCTATTGTCATGTATAACTAAAACAACCAATAAAAATCATTAAAAATGGGCTGGGGTTGTAACTCAGCGGCAGAGTACTTGCCTAGCATGTGAAAGGCACTTGGATTCAATCCTTAGCACCGCATAAAAATAAACATAAAATAAAGGCATTCTGTCCATATACAACTATAAAAATAAAGTTTTTTTTTAATTCTATTGGAAATTGTAAAAAAAAAAAAAAGTAGTCTCAAGATTAGAAAGAAATTTAAGTAGGAAAGACTTTTTTGAGAAACAGAATCTTTTGACAAACATGTTTTGCTGCTGTCACCTCAGAGGTCAGGACTCCATGTTCTCTGTTTCCTCTTGGACACCCTGTCTACCTCCAGAGATCCAGGATTAGTAAGATCATCCCAAATACTCCAGAGTCTCCTTGGATATGTGATCTAGGAGCTAGTGAATATAGGTGATTACCACATTGGAAAAAGGTTTTCAGATATAATATCAACTTCCCACTCATTGCCATGGCAGGGACAACAGCAATTGTGTTGTTGTTTGGGTCGCTTTTTTATTTTTTCATTTGTTCTTTTGAGATATGAATGACAGTAGAATATATTTTGATGTATTGTACATTCCTAGAGTGTAATTTCCCCCTCTGAGGAAGGATGAGGACACCGCAGTGCTGGTATATCTGGTGGTGTGGCTGCCTCCTTCCCACAGTGTGCCTGTGGGACCATTGCCCAGACTACAGATTGGAATCAGGTGAACATTTCATGTTTCATATATCAGGTGCAGACTCTGAAAGACATTTTGCATTTCAGGCAGGAGTCTGGGTGTGTGGTTTTGTAGGAAACGGGATTTTTCTGAATTTGATACTGGTCCAGAGTCAAAGCCATTGAGACAGGAGAAACTTCCCTCAGGCATTAGGTGAGCCCATAAGAGAGATGAGGGTGTAACCCTGCCCTCCTTTCCCTGACAGCACCTAATGTAACTTGGTGCCATCCTTGGGGTAATGATTGTTATGTCTAAAATGGATGATCATGCAGTCTGAGTGAGTTTCAAGGTGTCTGAAGAACTAAATTGTATTCCATTCAATGTTCAGCCCACTTTGCACAAATGACAGAGTTTTAAGGGCAACTAGATAATAAGTAGTGTGGATTGAATCCTGGTGACAACTGCTGGATGAGAATTTATTCTCACGCACATACATGAAGTGCTAAATGGAGGGAGAAGTTCTGTCTGAAAGCATAAGAGCTTGATGAATATGGTGAGACTATTTTCAGTCTTGAACTGGGGAGGCAGCATTTATGGAAAGGTGAGCATACAGTGGTGGATTTCAGGTAGCAGCTGTCAGCCTCAAGTGTGTTGTATTGTTCTTTCCTCTTAGTTAAAAACTACTCTCAACCCAAATCTGCCATTTCAACTTGTAACATGCAAGATTCCAGGCCTGATGCATTTTATTGTTGATAGTTGTACCACTAATGTCATTCAGTAATTTCACTTCACTGACAACTGTTTTACTTAACTAATGTCTTTTTTAATACGTGAACTAAAATGGTGCTGATTAGTGTCCATCCTACACTATTGTATTATGTACTAGTGTTTTGTGTCCCATAGTTCAGTATATGAAATGAAATCATTCAATAATTCCTGTGGCAGGTGACATGAAAAAAAAACCACTCTGTTGATATAACAAAGGTTACTAATCATGTGACCTTAAAACAGGAGGATCATCCTGGATTATCTAGACAGACTCAATGTGTGCATCCAGACTTGTAGCCAGTTTTGTGTTCACTAAATCCAGCATGGTCCTAGGCAGTTTCTTCTAACTTCATACCACCGTCACTGCTTATGCATTTTGTCAACACTTGCAAGTGTTAGTCACATTTGATGTTGGTCTATGGAATACTTTCACACACGTCAATTGAAACTCTTTAAACTCAAAATTGCAACACTGAATCAATGCACAGGATTATAACAATAGTAAAGTCAAAGCTAAATATCAGCTGGATTATTGGTTCATTGGATTTGATGGTAGAGCATGGTTTAAAGTGCCCACTATTACACCAGCCCACACAGGATCCAGTCTCCACTCAACCTCCCAGTATGTGAATTTAGACAAATCAGTCTCTCTTAGCTTAATTTGCCCTTATCTCTGTGATGGCAACACTGTCTCATAGATTCATGAAGAATGAAGAAATAATCACATGCATGTTCTTTATAGGAGTGTTAAGTACATTGCAAGTCTACTTTAAATGGAGTTCATTCTAATGTATAAAACCTATTAAACAAATCTGTAAGTATATATGTCTAGGAATTAGTAGTAAGGTAGCGCATATCTCATTTTCCCTCATAGGAACCTTTGGTTTGGTAGATAAATACCAGTCCACTAGGAATTTGGCATTGGGAATGGTCTTACCAGGCACTATGATTGGAATCTTGAGGAATTGCTTCTCTTTGTTATCTCTTCCTTTGTTTCTCTGGGTGCAAGTTATGTCCCACAGATTTGATCATTGAGCACCTGATAGTAGTCAACTCCTCATTCTTTCTCTTTAAGGGACTCTGCCAGGCAACTGTATAGCAAAAGCAATTCTGAACCAAAAAAGCAGTGCTGGGGGAATCATAATACCTGATTTCAAGTTATACTACAGAGCTATAGTAACAAAATTGAATGGTACTGGCATAAAAACAGACATGTAGATCAATGGTACAGAATAAAAGAGACAAAACCACAATTAGGAATGTGGAGAGACAATACATGGAATGGGAGGGAAATCTCTGCTAGCTACTCTTCTGATTAAAAAACAGAATATATAAACAACTCCAAAAACTTAACATATAACCCAGTTAAGAA